GTCTTACTTTTTCATTTACCAAATAGTGTCTATTAATGAGAGAAATTTTCAATTTTAATGAAGCCTTATTAAAAATTCTTATATAAGGTTAGTGCTTTTGTATCCTAAGAAAATTTTGCCTACCCCAGGGTTGTGATGATATCTTCCTATGTTTTCTTCTATAATCTTGACAAGTTCACCTTTTATATTTAGGACAGTGATACATCTTTGATTAATTTTTGTATATGTTTCATTCTCAATTTCAATATTCAATTGTGCCTGTACCATTAGTTGAAAAGACTTTGCTTTCTCTTTGAATTGCTTTGCCACCTCTGTTACAAATTAATTTTCCACAGTTATGTGAGTATATGTCTGGACTTTACATTCAGTCCTATTAACCTATTTATAAATCCTTATTAATTTCTGTCCCTTTAAAGTATTTTTTAAAGTCAAGCAGTAGAAATCATTCATATTTTTTTCCTTTTTTAAGGTGTTTTGGCTATTTTAAGCCATTTGCATTTTCATATAAATTTTAAGTTTATCAATCATTTTCCTTAAAAATCACTATTGGGGTGATGATTGTGATGACATGCTTAAGGTGGTTATTTCCTACATGTACTTTTGCTATTCTTTTCTTTTCCATTTCTATTTTGGTCAGAGAACACATTCTGTATTATTTTGATGCTTGAAATTTACAGAAGCTTGTTTCAAGGTGTCAGATTTGTTGTATGTTAAACACAGGCACTTGAAAACAGTGTATTCTACAGTTACTGAGTGTGATGTTCTATAAACATCAATTAGGCAAAGGTGGTTTATTTAGCAATTTAAATCTTCTAAGTCCATATAAAGTTTTGTCTACTACCTCCATAAATTACTGAGAGAAGAGTGCCAAAACAACCATTTGTCAGTTTTTGCTCTATAAATTTTGAAATTGTTAGTAGGTGGATGAACATTTAGAATTGATTACTATCCTTCATTATTATTATGAAGTTTCTCTTTTCTTCTGAAAATACTCCAGAAAATACAAGTACAGCCTGTCTGATGCTAATAGAGCCACACTAGCTTTCTTATGAGTAATGTTTTACTTTCCACCTGTCTCTATCTTTACGTTTAATTGATATTCGTCTCTTATAAAGAGTATTAGTTAGGTCTTCCTTTTTTATCCAAGTCTGGCAATCACTGCCTTTACATCAAGGTGTTTAGTCCATTTACAATTTATGTAACTATTCATATGGTTGGGTTTAATCTACCATGTTGCTATTTCTTTTTTGTTAGACCTATCCTGTGTTTGTTTCTTTGTCTCTCATTTCCTGTCTCTATTTTGATTAAACAGGTGGTTTTTTTAATTTTATCTCCTCTATCTTGTTTGGGGTATTTATTTTTGTTACTTTTGTAGTGTTTATTTTAGTGATTATAATATGTATCTTTATCACTGTTTTGCTTGAATAATACAATACCATCTCACGTATAATGTAAGGTTACTCCTACCTTCCTGACTTTTTTGTTACTTTTTTCATATATTTACAACCACATATGTTATCAACTCCACAAAATATAATTATTAGTTTTGCTTGTAATGATTTATTATCTTTTAATAAAATTGATAAAAATAATATTTTATATTTAACCCCAAATATACCATTTCCAATGTCCTTCCCTCCTTTGTTTAAATCCAGGTATCCATCTGGTATCTTTCCCTTCATCCTGAATAACTTCCTTCAGCCTCTCCTTTAGGACAGCTTTGGTGGTGATGAATTTTCTCACGTCTCATTTAGTTGAAAATGTCTTTGTCTTCATTTTAAAAGAATATTTTCACTATAGAATTTTGTGTTGATGTTTTCTTTTAGCACTTTGGAGATGTTGGTCCATTTTTTCTTGTCCATTGATATGAGATATTAGTAGTCTTACATATTGCTGTTTGCCTTATATGTGACTTTTTTCTCTGCTACTTTTCAAGTTTTCTCTGTAACTTTCGTTTTCAGCAGTTTAACTATGATGTGTATAGATGTAGTTTTGTTTGTATTTATTCTATTTAGGGTTGCCTGAGCTTCTTTAATCTTAAATACATTTCTTTCACAAAATTGGAGGATTTTCAACTATTATATCTTCAAATATATATTTTTTGCCCCAGTCTCTCTCCATCTAAGATTCTATTTATGCGTATGTCAGACTGCTTGACAGAGTTCCATAAGTTCCCTGAGGCTTTGTTGAATTTTCTCTTTATTCTTCAGATTAGATTATTTCTATTGATCTGACTTCAATTTACCTGACTCTTTTGGTCTGCCATCTCCAATTTGCTAGTAAACACATCTGGGGAATTTTTCATTTCAGACGTTGTAATTTTCTATTTTATACTTTTACTTGTCATTTTAAAAAAACAGCTATATTAAGGTATAATTCATATAGCATAAAACTTACCAGTTGTAGGTATATAACAGTGCTTTTAAATAAATTTGCAGAACTGGCAAACTACTTTTAGAACATTTCCATCCTATCAAAATGATTCCTGTTTGCAGTTGATCCCCATTCCTACCTCCAAATCCAGGCAGCAACAGATCTGTCTTTAAAGATTCCCCTTCTACATACATTTCTTATAAATGGTGTCACACAATACTCAGTGCTTTGCATCTGCTTTCATTCACTGAAGATAATGTTTATGAAGTTTATCCACATTCAATGCCACATTATGTTCCTTTTCCATTTACCAGTTGATGGACACTTTGATTGCTCCAAATTTTTGCTTCCTATGAATAACGTTGCTATGGGACTAAATGTAAAAGTCTTTGTATATACATATGTTTCACCTACCTTGTGTAGATTCATAGGAATCATATTTCTGTGTCACATGGTGAATTTATTTTTTACTTTTTAAGAAACTGATGAACTTTTTTCCAAAGTGGCTATATCATTTTACATTCCAGTCTCCAATACGTGAGAGCTACAGTTCCTCCACAGTCTTACCAATACTAGTAATATTCTGCCTTTTAAAAATTATAGCCATTCTAGTAGATGTAAAATGGTATCTTACTGTGGTTTTAAATTCCATTTCCTTAATGACAAAGATATTGATTATCTTTCTCACTTTTTTCATAGTTTCTATTTCCCTACTGAGAATTCCTAGATGTTCATTCATTATGACATGTTCCTCTAAGTCAGAGTTTCTAAGCAGTATTACCATTTTGAACCAGATGATTGCTTGTCTGGGGAGGCTGCCCTGTGCACTGTAGGATATTTAGCAGCATTCTTGGCCTCTACTCATTGGATGCCAGCAGTACCCCCCAGTCAGGACAATCAAAAATACCACCATACATCTCCTAATATCCACTTTGGCGGTCAGGAATCACCCCAGTTGGGAACCACTGCTCTAATTCTTTGATAGTAGCTTTAAATTCCACTTATGCTAATTCCAACATTACGGAGTAGATTTTCGTATTTCTTCACGTGTACAAGGATATATCATAACTATGAATAATACATTGTAGAGACTCTGGCCTGTTATCTTCCTCTGAGGAATATTAATTTTTGTTTACAATTCAGTTAGATAGCTGGCTTATTACCCTGTACAAATGGGAACTTGGTTTTCTGCTTTAAGGTGAGCCTGTTTTAGATTTTCCCTTATTCCTAGAGCAAACCCCCTAACTCAGGGATGTACTCTTTATGCCCAATCTAAGTCTCTTTTGGGCTTTCAAGGGAAAACTCAAGGTATTTACAAGTACCTCCACCTTGGCAGGAGTCAAACTTAATATTATGTCTCTCAAGAGATGGGCAGCAGCTGAAATTTCTGCTCAGGGTTTTCAGTATTCCAGCTCTTTCTTTCCACTTGTTCCTTGGTGTCTCCCCAACACTTGCACAATTCTGTGGTCAGTCAAAGATTTGAAGAGAGGTTTTCTGAACATTTTGAGCTTCACTATCCTTTCTGGTATTCTTCCATACTTAATTTTCCAGCTGCTCTGGTAGCCCTAAATTATATCCTCTGACCCTTTAAGCTGAAAAAATCATACATTTCTGCTTGAGTTCTAGCCAACCTATGCAAAAAGCTGTATCAATGTAGACTTCACAACACAATGCTCTCAGCTAGCTTTTGCCTGTGTTTCTGTCAAATCCCCATCAGTTTTTAACTGCTTTAGTCACTCGCTCATGTCTTGAAATAGAGTGTGTGTGTGCGCATATCTGTGCGTATATATATTTTCCAGAGTTTATAATGATCATCTGTGGGCATATTAATTTGATACTGTTTACTCTGATATCACCTACACCAGGGCTTTTTATGGTTAGCTTTGTATATCCGAACTTCACAGAAAAACAATTGTAGACTCAGCAAGATTAAATAACTTCCTCATGGTCATATAGCTGGTAAACTAATCCTCTTTCCATTTCACTATTCTTTTATTTCCTAACATTGTTTTTTCCTACATAGATTTTTTTTAATCAACCATATGGGGTTAAAAACACATGATTTGTAGCTTGCTCAATGTAAATATTATAGAGTGTCTGTAATATTCAAGCACAGATGTTCGTTGTCAGAGAATAGCACTAATATGTACATATTTGGTTAAAATAAAATAATATAGGAAAGTTAAGCTTCCATTCCTATTCATGAGTTAAGTAGGCTATATCTTAATTTTACAGTCAACCCCAGGATGTTACCTCTAAAAGCATTTTCAGTTTTGTCAAAATCAGTTGTCCAAAATGTGCGAGTCTACTTCTGGATTCCCTACTCTTCTCCATTTATTACTGTATTTTTCTATCTTTGTGCCAATTGTAATTCAATTATTACAGCTTTATGATAAATTTGGAAATCAGCTGGTGAAATAACTCCAGTTAAAAAAACACTAAAGCCAAACTCATAGAAACAGAGAGTAGAATGGTAGTTACCAGAGGCTGGAGGTGGGGGAAATCAGGAGATATTGGTCAAAGAGTACAAACTTCCAATTACAAGATGAATAAGTTCTGGAGAGCTAATGTACAGCATGGTGATTATCGTTAATAACACTTTATTATACAATTGAAAGTTGCTAAGAGAGTAGATCTTAAATGTTTTCATCACAAAAGAGAAATGGTAATTATGTGACATGTTGGACGTATTAGCTGATACTATGGTGATAATCATTCTGCAATACATAAGTGTATCAAATCAACCTGTTGTATTTCTTAAACTTGAAAATAAAAGAAAACACTCATGCAATTTATTTCTTAGTTCTCAGGGTTTCCAACACTTAAAAAAAAAAAAAGAAATCCCTCTTTTTTTTCCTTTGTCGCAAAATAAGTTAAAAATTAATTAATAATAAGTTAATAATAATATTATTGAACTTTCCATGCTTAAGTGTATTAAATCTTAGCTTCACAACAACCAATCCATTTCAAAGGAGGAATCGTAACATAAAGAGATTAACTTGAGCACCCAGTTAATCAATGGCAGAGCTGGGAATCAAATTTTGACAATTTAAGCCAAAGCTGGGTTCTTAGCTACCTTACTAAATTTCATAGTAAAACAGTTGAAAGCTATATAAAAGCATACAGCCAAAATAATAAAATTATTTTAACCTCACTCAGCAAAAATAAACACTGTTATTTTGGTGTCTATTCTCTCCAGATTATTTTTTATTTATACACCAATAGTATGATAGCTTTTTATAATAATTTATCCTCCTGACAAAAATGAATGACATTCTTGAATGTGATAACGAATATTGATCCATTCAGTCCAGCAATCTAAATACAATATTATATCCCAGACTTATTTAACTCAAGACTGTGAAGAGAACAAAAGAAATTTTTGAAATAACAGAACATATATTTGATAATGAGAGTGATATAGCTACTGGTGTTTATACTTATGTACAATGAACAATAAAGGATACAAAGGATAAAGGATATTCTTTATCAGGTTCTTTCTTACTACGGCAGCTGACATGATCCTTGACCAGGCACATTTGCTAGAGGATATCTCCTGTTCACAGTCCTTATTTTGTGACTTTGTTAAATTAACACTTGTTAAGTAAACCTCCAGGGTGTCGGATGGTGAGCCAGGTTCAACAAAAGACCACAAGGGAATGGAAATAAAGAAGTTTATCACTCACAGGTTCTGGAGGAGGTGCACGGCAGGCCTCGAAGGGCCACAGAGGGAGGTCAAGGAGAGAAAAATATAGGACCTGGGGCACTTGCCTTTCTTAGGACCTGTGAATGGAGCGCCTTGGGGTTCCTGGGCTAAAGCCAGATTGGTCAATTCAAACCAAAAAGAGTGGGGTGTTGGTAACTCCCCTGGGGTCTTATCTAAGTGCACAAGGTTAAAGGCCCTGGGAGGCAGGGGAGACTTAATCACAAGGGTTTGGGGGAAGTCATGACAGAAACTTATATTTACTTGTGGCTCTGTGGGCCCTTATCTAGGGCAAGTGCTTGTATCAAGGGTAATGTCAGGTTAAGGCCCCCACAGGCTGCTTGGCCAAGCAAAATGGATGCTGAGGCAGCAACGCCATGGGGTAGCTTAGCTACTCTCTGGACACCTTACCACTGAATGCTCTGTCTTCTCCTTTGCACTCCAGGGAAAGCTAGATAAAGCTTGCACGTTGTTTCTCTGAGCTCCATGAGCTGAACTCCATCCATAGTGATCAGTGTTTCCCTGCTCAGAATGTTTCTGCTCAGATATAGAGGTGCCAGGCAGTAGGGCAAGATTCTTCCTGCTTAGACTTGGAGGTCGCCTTGGGCTCCTCATTCGCAGAGGTCAGGACACATCACTGATTAATCACCTTCCCTGTAGCAATATGCTTGTTACAAATCATAGGTTTCTGCTCTGGCCTTGAATGATAAAATTTTAATAATTTCTGTTTTGCCTTTTTATTGAACAACTGAAAACCGTTTCCTTTTCTAAAGATCGCATTTCTCATAGATATCAATCAGTACGGTGAGGATGAGGTATCAGGCCACAAGCTAATTGTGGGTAGTTTCATAAAATGGAGTTTATAATTTTTTCTTGGTTTGAATGTATAGAATAAAAATGTTACTGTTTCAGTATTTCAGGAAAAAAATTAAGCAGTAACTTATTCTTCAGTATGTATTTTTGTGTGTATATACACATACAAAATTCATTTCCTATACATGTCATGCTTTATGGTGTGTTATGTTTTTATGTTTACCCTTTCCTTTGGGTGGGGAACAGGGTGCAGCCCTCCCTTGTTCACTACCTTTTCTAAACATGGCTACAGGAATAATTCATTCCAGCTGACAAGGATAATTGAGACGGTCAGCTGTCAGATGAAAACGGTTTATTATATGTTTTAGTTAGCATTTTTCTCTTATAGAAGTTTGAATAATATTTTAATACAATACCTCTGAAACGTTACTTTTTATTTCTCTAAAAACAAAGCGATTTAAATAATCAGAAAGGAATGTCTAATCTCTGTACGAATAACTCCCAAATGCATTCAAGACCCTGTGTTCTGAATTGTTCTGCGTGATTAAATGTAGGTACTTCAATGATCTGTGTTTAAGATAAAATATGTGAAAGATAGATATGTTCTGATTAGAAGATGTGTTCAGCAGACATTTAACTTGCATTAATCAGGAAATAAAAGCCCTTAACATATCCTCATCGGGGCTAACCACGTAATTGTAAACTCCTGCCTTCACATGTATAATTTGTGAACACAGAAAATTTCTTAGCCAAAATACAGTACAGCCTGTTTCCTATAAACCATGTGAATCTTACTAAAATACTTTTAAAGAAATATTTTAAAAACACCAGTTACAATACATGTTAAGTATCTTAAAAATGGAAATGGGAAATTAGACACTTGGAGGTAAGGCATAAAAATCCAAATGAATCATCTGAGAAAACTTCCAACATAGCAACTTCTTAAGAGGGTTTTACTGTCATAATAGTAATGATGAGTTTAATTCCTCTGGGTGCATAACAATCATATAAGGATGGTATTGTAATTTTAGATGAATGAAAGTGTTGTGAAGGGGTGCAAATTGGCTCATGCACACATCTCCACAGCCCCAGGGAGAAGAGATGAGCCTGAAGCAAAATCCTCGAGATCATAATGCTCAGTTTACGAAGCTTACATTTCATCTAGCAGAAAAATGCATCTACCAGAAAAATCTTTTGTTAACCTTCTCTTGCAACTTCGCCTCACACTAGCAAACGGTGAGATGCAGTCACTCACACAGCAAGTGCTTATGTTCAAAGAGAAATTGAACATTCCCAAAGGGTGAGAATATGGCTATTTGCACCTTCAAAATGGAATTGTAAGCCTGGGGCCAAAAACAGCTTTATAAGATACAAATTTGACACAATGGACCACCTCTGCCTCCTTCAAACTCCTCCACAGTCTTGGGGATACGATCCTGTTTAAGGAATTCTGCAGGTCTAATTACTCCTCCAGTCTGTCTCAAAAGATTTTTCTTTTTTTTCCTTCTTGATAAATATTGGCTTTGTTACATTTAACAGGCAGTGGGCATTTTCATTTAGAAGTCCTAAGCTCATTAACTAAAGTAAGTCTAACTAAAATCACAATCTTCCCTCTCAAATGCTCATCCCTCTAGATTTCACTGTCAGCATCAATGCTACCATCAGTTTTTTTGTTACACAAGTTCAAACTCTCAGAAATATGTTCTAATTTCTTTTCCCTCTCCTTAACTTAAAGATATCTCATTAAGTCAGACTTCAACTCAATTATTTTCGTACTGGTAACATCTCTATTATCTCTTTCTCTATATTTTTGTTACCACTTTTCTAGGTCAGTTTCTCATGCTTGGATAATTGAACTGGTCTTCTACTAGGGTTTCCACTCTTCCGTCCAGCCATCCCGTCCTGCACATCAGCATCAGAGTGATCTCCCCCTGCAGTGTTCTCATCAGGGGCTTATCCCTGAGCAAAACAAACCTAAATAGCATTCCAAATCATGACTCAGTGTCCTCCCTGGCCAAATACAAATCTCTTTCTTGTCTAACTCTTTTTCCTACTTACGCTTTATATTTATTCCCACTATGCACAATACCTCCCTCAAAGCCCCTCCATTTCCAAAACCCATCTAACCTTTGAAATCCAGCACACACTGATCATCCATCGTTCAAATATTGAACCTCTATTGCATTGTCTACACCAGGGGTCAGCAAACGACACCCATGGGCCAATTCTATCTTTCCACCTCTTTTTGTATTGCCTGCAACATGAAAATGCTTTTTACATATTTTTAAAGCTTGTCGAGCCCCAGTCTGCACAAGTATTTTCAAAGTAGTACATGAACATATGGGTTTCTGGGTTCTCTATCAGATTTTATTTAATTTATGTTTTTATTTCATTATCTAAAAATAATAAAAAACATATCTATATCATCTGTGTAAACTCCTTATAACTGAATACCGCCATGTGGTTTCATTGCTTGTGTTCAGATTCCAGTCTATAGTCAAAAAGTTCAGTCTAAGTGGCATTATTAGATTTTAAATATTTTTCAAGCATACCCTACTTGAAATTGGGCATGCTGGCATTAGGAAATAAGTACTGCCAGCATTAGGCTGACAAGCCTCCATCTTGAAATTTAGTCTTCAGATGAGCCTCTGAATCATAATCATAGTTTAAGACTTCAGATTCTTATGTCAACGGCAATTCCCAGTTGAAATTCATATTGACAAATTAAGATTTTAGGTTCTTGAGTAAGAACTTCTCAGGCAGAATTTTGTGGAGCTGTCTTCTTCAAATATATTCTCAAGGTCTAGGATTATTCAAGTTGGAAAAACTCTCCCACTCTTCAGACATATATATTGCTGAAATTTTCTTAGTTCTTGAATAGCTGGACTTTGTCTTCAAGTAGATTATATTATACTCCTTTCAGACTCCACAGCAGAGGCAAGTAATTTTACCTATACCATTCCTGTAACAATTTTATTTTTTTCTGATTGATTTACTCATATTCAGGTGAAGGCAACAGAGAAAAGCAGTTGGTTCTAAAGGGAATACCTTCTACACAGTCCCTGTAGCAGCCCTTGGAAGGAAACTTCAGAGCTGCCCATTGGCACGGAGCTCACAGTTGCCATGGAAGTCTTGGGATGGAGATGGACAGGCAACTTGGGAGAGAATAGAGAAATCTCATTATGTTCTTCTTGGATAGTGAACACATTCCTCTGTTTCCCAAATGTAAATTACAATATCCAGCATGATGATCTACAATCATCACTGAGTCTTATCCTAATATCCAAATCCAAATATATCCTATGTCCAAATCTAGGAGGAAACAAAAACAAAACATATCTAAATGGAGAAGGTTTTAAAAGGCTAAGAAGACGAATGAGGAAAGCATCTGAGTAATGGTTTGAGGAGACAGTACTATAATGTAAGAAAGAGTTTAGAAGGTTTCCTTTTTCATTTTAGGATTCAAAGGGAAGAAATTTAACTGGTCAATGGAATAAAAAAAGAAAGAAATGATTCTATGAGAAAAAATAAGAACTATAAATAAGTATCTTGATGTTGCCTTTGGAAAGAATATATAGTTTTCATGATACTATCTAAACTTACTAGCCACAGTGTAATTTATACATATCTACACTAGTAAACCGCAAAGGAGGTAGAGCATGTTCTTGTGCTTTAAAAATTTGCTTATCAAGCAGCAGCATCCACAGTGACTGAGATCTTGTTAAAAGTGCAGAAACACAGACCCCACCCCAAAACTACTAAATCAGAATTGCATTTTTCACAGGTTCCCCATGTGATTTTTATACATATTAACATTTGAGAAGCAGTGCTTGAAACATGGAAATCCTAAGTAGTCTACCTAGCCCCTATTTTATTGAATTTTGTTTATAAAGACAAACACAACTTCCTTCCCCTCTCCTCAATAATAAAAGCTATTGAGAGCAATAAGAAACAGCAATTTATTATTTAAAGGAATAGAGTTCAGTAAGAATAAATGAGAAGTTACCAGATGGTTATATTCTATGAGCAATCATGTTGCTGTGCTTTGTTTTTTTATTTTTAAAAAATATATGTATGTACTCATTGTACCATTGATTCTTAACTGTTGAGTTAGTATCAATCAAGGAGATTAGTTTGGGATAGATTGTTTTATTATACTCAGTACATATGAACAGTGTTAATCAATGCCAATTATGGCTATTCTTCACATACAGAAAAAATCTACATAGCAGGGGTCATCTTATTTTTATCGGTTCTATCAGCCATTATCAATTGTTAAAATTATTTAAATGTTGATTAGTTGAACATTTTTGGCCTGCTCAGTTTCCCAGAAAGTTTAAATATTTATGTTCCTATGCAATTAATCTAGCCAGTTGACAATGTAAGGATTATTCTTTAATGTAATTTCACAGCTTTTTTGGGCAATTGTGAAGGCAAAAACTAATTTTTATTTTGATGACTTTTCTAATAATTTGTTTTACCCATTCACAAAAAGTATTCTACCTGGAAGCATAAATTTAGTTAAGGGCAGTGAGAATTAATTCATTCATGGTGACATTCAAACACAAATGAAAAAGAACATTGTCTCAGGGGCATCCCAGAAATTATGCCAAAATAAAGATTATGCCCTTTTTAAATGTATTTAAGTAGTATGAGTCCAAAACACTAAAAGTGGTAGGATTATATATGTAGTAATGTAAATAATTTTTAAGAAATACATTGGAATATATAGTTCCAAATATTCATTTCAAAAGAGTCAAATTAGATGTCTATACAATTAAAATGTTAGCAACATTCAAAAATATTGAGAGGCCCTCTTTTAGAATTATCTTTACAACCTATTATATATTATCATTTAAAAAATCACAAATAGTGATCTAATGTTCATCATTTTTAAAATGATTTGATTTTTAAAGGTAGAATCTTTGGTAGACTAGTTGAGACAGAAATTTAAGATTCAATTTCCTATGGATCATATTTATAGCTGAACATATTAATATGTTGAGCAACAACTTGAATAAAATAAATTTTCTACAGTAATAAGGATAACACCTTGTAGGTCTTATAATCTCTGTATTACTTTAGTGAAGGAAGAGTCATGTATTAAGAAATTTAGATAGATTGATCCCCAAACATATGGATGATGGACATAAAATATTCTTTTTCTTCTATTTTCTTTTTTCTTCCACTCGGTACCTAGCCAGTGCTCATAAGAAAACATAAATACATAGAGATATAAAGTAAATTCAATAACTCTTAAAACATATGGAAGTCCATTTTTAAAAATCTCTACAGATTTTCATTAACTTAATTCAAGAGCTATATTGAGCTATTACGAAAAAAGTGAGAGTATGTGAATCTTTTTAGTAAATTCACTTGTTTTTCTGTTGTTATATGTCTGTTTGCTTTTATATGAGAGAGAGAGGAATTCTCCAATACAATAAAAAAGTCAATAAAACGTGGAGTTCCTTTCCTGAAACTATGTAAGATTCTAGATCAGAACAAGAATCAGGGTACATTTGATAGTATATATATACCTCCTCACACCCTCTATCCCAAGAAATACAAAATAAATAGGACATTTTCTCATATTTTTTGTGATATTTCTTCCTTAAAAAGCAGCTAGTAGGTATATTACTAGAGCAAATCTTTAATGTTTTCCTACTAATATTTTACAAAGCACAAAGTAACAATGGGATGAGATATTTGTTCCAGAAAAATATAATTAACTCTCACTGTGTTGGGACTGGGGCATGTATTTTGGATACAGAATCAAGTATTTCCAGTCTTCTATATTCTCTTTAAGAGAAGGAGCAAAACAAAAAATTATAATACATGTTATAAATATAAACGAACAAATGTCTAATGCTGCCTGCTAGAGGCAATTTCCCACAAGAGGTCATATTTGATCTAGAAAAAGGAAGTGTCTTGGTTGTAAGATGTATATTTTTCCACACTGAACAACAACAAAACATGTGTGGATGTGTATGTATCCAAAAGTCTATGTGAAGAAAATATTTATCATCAGCCTCAGCTAAAAAGTCTAAACAGATAGCTGCCTGGACCAAGCTTCACCTCTCAATAATGGGCAAAGTGAAGCAAGTTTTTCTGGCTGGAGTGATTCTAAAAACATTTTGGAGGAAGCTAATCACTCTGACTTAGACTTTCCCCATCTTTTAAATTCATTCCAACTGCATGTTGTAAACTCAATTTATATAACAAATGTAGTACTCGACTGACACTGATTCATGTTTCTAAAACAGGTATAAGCTTGATGAATGTGACACAATGAATGCTGTATCTCTATTTGCAAAAATAAGACAAGGCACGAGAAATAATTTATATCAAATGATTTTTCCCAAATAATTGATCTTATTCAATTCAATGTCAGAGTCCAAATACATTACATAACAGGTTGTTTCTTAAATTGCTTACCCAGCTACAATCTTTCTTTTGCCTCATTTGTGGCTTGTGTAATTGTCACCTCTGCAGTCCACTTTTTAAAATTGAAAGAATACATTGCAGGGAGAGAATACTGGAGTATATTTGAAATTAATAGTTAACCATTTCAGGTCAGAGAGGCTATAGAAATTTTATTATGTGCTAGAATCTCTTATTTAACAAGAGGTAGCTCAGAAAGGAATCATTCTCTATGCCAGTCAAGTTACAAGGCAAATATTGCATGTTTCAGGAAACTAAATAGTCATAGATTTTACATCAAGTGTAAAGAGCACAGGTATGTGTGCACACATAAACACACATTCCTACATCAAAATACTCTCATCTACCCCAACTTTAAAGGACTGAATTGAACTTGATCTGCTTCATGTATTCCTTACACACGCTGTTTCTCTTTGTCTGACTAGTAAATACAAGTAGTGTGTTAAATATCTACCGCTGCATAACAAATTATCCCAAAGCTTAATGGTTTAAAACGACACACGTTTATTATCTCACAGTTCCTGTGCATCAGCTTCACTGGGTTCTCCCGCTCAGGGTCTCTTACAACGAGGTAATCAAGGTGTCTGCTGGGGCTACAGTTATCTCCAGGCTCATCTAAGGAAAGATCTGCTCCCGAGCTCACTCACCTGTTTTTTGCAGGAGCCAGTTCCTCAGAAGTTGGTGGACTGAGGACTTCAGTTCCTTGCCAGTTGTTGACCAGAGGTCTCCATCAGTTCGTTGCCATGCAAGTCTCTCCAAAAGGCAGCTTACACATGGCAGGTGGCTTCCATCTGAGCAAGAAAGTGAGAGGGCAAGAGAGGGTGAACAAGACAGAAGCCACCAGTCCTTTTGTAAGTGAATATCAGGAGTGACATCCCATTCTTTTTGCCCCGTTCTGTTCATCAGACATGGGTCATGACCCAGCCCACACTCAAGAGGAGGGGATCACACAAAGGCGTGAACACTGGCAGGAGAGGTCTTGGGCTCTCCTAGAGGCTGCCTCCTTCTCAGTGCATGGAACGTAGTCAGCACCTAATAAATACTTCCCAATGAAATGAATTTTCTTATTGTAAAAATATCTCTGAATAAACAAAGGAGTTCAAATGATACCAGAATGAAATATGTGTTTATGCTGAGGAGTAACTCTACTTCTAAAACCAACTGGATTAGTTCTAAATAGTATAACCTTTGCTTTAATCTCTTAATCCAGTGAAGAATTCAATATAACGTATCTAATTATTACTATTCATAACCTGGTTTAGCTCAGTGACCTGTCAAGAAGACAGTAAGCTATTTACCAAGAAATCCACTTTCCATAGGTAATGATAAATATCCTGGTTTAATATTAACATCACATTTTTATATGAAAATATTGACGGCAGTCACTTTAATGCAGTGCTTCCAGAGCAAGTGGCTTGCTGATACCAACAAACCTTGAAATGAATGGAGATGTACATCCTCAGCATCAAAAGTTATGCATATGCACAAATACTTATCTGAACGTGTTTGTGCTAACTTTCAAATAAGACATTCCTAAGCATAAATGTGCATCTGAAAGATCATATTTATAGGAAGTAATGAATTTATTGTTGTTCTCTACTTAAATAGAATTTCCCTCAGCCATTAAAAAAATCCTGCTACCAGTTCCATTGTGTGCTTTTCTCTGACAGTAAAACTTAAAAATTAAGAATATGTGTGAAATCAGTTGTCCTTGAAGAAGAGAAACTGTTAATCAATCTTTGCATGTTTAACTAGAATGTCTTTGAAAACTAAGGGCCAAGACATTGAAATTACTTTCTGAACCCATCAAAAATTTAATATATGTCTATATTTACTATAAAGCACTTAGTAGTAGTATGACTAACTTTGAAGGAAAGAAATGTAAATATTAACTAAGGAAGGAGATTCATTTTAAATGCTCTCCTTTGTCAGTAACCAATATAATCCATCAAATTTTTACATGTTTTCATTGAAATGGAAGAGTAGCCAAATTCAAAAGGTAATGTTATCTGTCATTCATATCTCGAAGGATCCTGATGTTTACGTTTCTAATTCTAATATGCATAATTTAATGCTATTTTCCTGTTAGTGCATTTAAAATATTAGCACGTATCAGCAGGGCTTCTGATTCCTGATTTGCATCCATGAAATTTTGTTGATAAAACAAAATACAAATTTGGTATGAGAATCGAGTCTAAATGATCAAATAATAGTAGTTAATACTAATACCATAAAGATATCTGATTTAAAAATGAAAAAAATAATATTTTATAGCTCTTGATATTTAAAATTCGCTTTTATTTACACACAGCAACTACTCAATGTGGACATTATTGGCCCCTGTAACGGATTGGATAGCATCCCCCAAGGAGATATGTCCAAGTCCTAACCTCTGGTTCCTGTAAATGTGACCTTATTTGGAAATATGGTACTTGCAGATGTAATTAAGTTAAGGATCTTGAGATGAGATCTTCCTGGATTTAGGGTGGGCCTTAAATCTAATGACTGGTGTTTCTATTAGAGAAAGGAGAGGGAAATTTGAGACACACAGAGAGGCAGATGGGAAGGCCATGTGAAGACGGGGCAGAGAATGGAGTGGTACATCTACAAGCCAAGGAACACCAAGAATTGCCTGCAGCCACCGGAAGTGAGGAGGGAGGCTGGATAGGATTATTCCTTAGATCCTTCAGAAGTTATCAATTCTGTCTATTCTTTTTTTTTAATAGGTTAATTAATTTTTTGAGGCAGATTAGCCCTGAGCTAACATCTGTGCCCATCTTCCTCTACTTTATATGGTATACCTGCCACAGCATGGCTTGATAAGCGGTGCATAGGTCTGCGCCTGAGATCTGAACCTGGGAACCCTGGGCTGCTGAAGCGGAGCTCACGAACTTAACGACTATGCCACCGGGCTGGCCCCTAACCCTGTCTACTTTTTGATTTCAGATGTCTAGCTTCTAAAACTGTGAGAGAATAAATTTCCATTGTTTTAATCCACCAAGTTTTGTGGTAATTTTTTATTACCCTGGGAAAGCAATACAGCCTCCTTTAACAAGTACACTAAAACACAGAGATTCTTGTTTTCCCAAGATGAAAAATAATTAACTGACTTGATATGGGTATCATTGGCTTAGAGACAAGAGTGAAATATTCTTTCAATATATGCTGCATTTCCATTTCTCTTGATACATTCTAGAGTACTATAGTGTTTGATCAAAGCAGTTATCATTAACTTGGAATAGACAGGTGATTTAAAAGAGTCAGACTCTAAAAGTAAATAAATATTAGGACCATCTTAACCAATATTTTCTTATGCTTTCTTTTTTAATAGTCAATGAGTGACAAAAATCTATTTAAACTGAGTCTAAAAGAGTTCTGTTAATAAGTAACCATTTTAACAAATTGAGTAATAGTATATAGTAATAATTTAATTATCAGATTTTTCCTTTTAGAGGGAACATAAGTAATGGTGTATCTTGTCATTGATTCTTAGATTTGATGACATATTTGTGACTGTCTTGTGGGCTATGTTAGTTGAAGGGGGAATTGGAGAAAAGTTTTTGCAAAACATCTTTCCAAGGATTCTTCTCTCTCACGCAAAGAGAACTGGAAATGTCACATTATAACTTGGTAGAGCTGACAAAAATGTATAATTCCCAGTGAAGAAGAGGTTTATTCTGAAACAGATGCTAATGTTATACTTAGGAAATGCTATCTTACGGAGTGGTAAAATCTATTTTTTCATTTAAAATGAGTATTTTCTTTCTAATTTTAGGGTTATGTTTTTAGTGTTTTGTTTGTTTGCTTTCTCATTTGAAGGTTTAAACCCACCAAGATAAAAGTTGTGTGTCTGGCACAACTAGTGAACTAGTGCTTTTCAGAGTAGTTGTGATGGACAGCACCTGGGATGACCCCTATGTCTATACTCTGTGCAACCCCTTAACCTTGAGTGTGAACTGGATCTGTGATTTGCTTGTAACCAATAAAACATGGCAAAAGTGAGATGTCACTCCCATGATTACATATTTATCTATCTGTCTATTTACATCTGTATTTGTATCTATATCTATTACGGTATAAATACATATATACACACGCATATATATGTATCTGAATATATATTCGTATGCAGGCATGTACTTCTCTGTAGAAGTATACAAGCATGCATTTGTATGCAAGTATGTGAGGAAGACTTCTCTCTCTTCCTGATTTTGAGGAAAGAAGGTGCCATCTTGTGAGAGGGTCTATGGAGAGAGCCCTGTGTCAAGGAAATGCAAGAAGCCTGTAGCAGCTGAAAGTAGTCAAAGGCCATCAAGAAAATGAGGACTCAGTTCTATAACTGCAAGGAGACAAAGGCTGCCAACAACCGGAGAGAATCTGGACATGAATCTTTCTCCAGTCAAGCCTTTATGAGAATGCAGTCCTGGCTGACACTGGGATTGCAGCCTAGCGTTGACCCGTGGAAACTGAGATAGTAAACATGTGTTGTTTTAAGCTGCTAAATTTGTGCTAATTTGTTACTCTGCAATAGAAAACTAATACAGTAGTCAAGTTCTTCAAAAATATTAATTATCAATCCATTCTTTTCTTCTTGATCTATATTGCTGGCTTTTAGTATGAAATAAACTATTTTATATTCTAGTATTTTTTTCTGCTGTATTTGTTCCCATTTTGATGTGTCAACCTATTCTAGCGGTGACTTGTTCAGAAATCACCTCCTTTCCTGCTCTAAGAATGGGAAAATATTTACATGGTGATAAGGTTTTTTGTTTGTTTCTTTTGATTTGATTTGGTTTATAGTATGTCATATTCATTCCTGTTAACTACTATTTGATGGTTCACATAAACTCATTAGCATAAAGATGCATTATATCAATGAGAAAAATTATTTTGCAATTGTGTTTCAAGTTAATTTTTTAATACGAAAGTTTTTATTTTTTTGTCATTTTATTATTAATTTATTCATTTTTATTGTGTTAGCATTGGCTTACAACATTAAATAAATTTCAAGTGTACATCATCATACTTCTATTTCTACACAGATTACATCATGTTCATCACCCAAAGACTAATTACAATCCATCACTGCACACATGTGCCCAATCATCCCTTTTGCCCTCCTCCTTCCCCCTTCCTCTCTGGTAACCACCAATTCAATCTCTGTCTCTTTGTGTTTGTTTGTCCGTTGTTGTTTTTATCTTCTACTTATGAGTGAGATCATATGGTATTTGACTTTCTCCCTCTGACTTATTTCGCTTAGCATAATACCCTCAATGTCCATCCACGTTGTCACAAATGGCTGGATTTCATCGTTTCTTATGGCTGAGTAGTATTCCATTGTGTATATATACCACATCTTCTTTATCCATTCGTCCCTTGATGGGCACTTAGGTTGCTTCCAAGTCTTGGCTATTGTGAATAATGCTGCAGTGAACACAGGGGTGCACGTATCTTTATACACGCATATTTTCATGTTCTTTGGATAAACACCCAGCAGTGGAATAGCAGGTAGTTCTATTCTTAATTAATTGAGGAATCTCCATACTGTTTTCCATAGTGGTTGCACCAGTTTGCACTCCCACCAGCAGTGTATGAGAGTTCCCTTCTCTCCACATCCTCTCTAGCACTTGTTGTTTCCTGTCTTGTTAATTATAGCCATTCTGACGGGAGCGAGGTGATATCTGCTTGTAGTTTTGATTTGCGTTTCCGATAGTTAATGATATTGAACGTCTTCTCATGTGCCTGTTAGCCATCTGTATATCTTCTTTCAAGAAGTGTCTGTTCAGGTCTTTTGCCCATTTTTTAATTGGGTTCTTAGTTTTTGTTGTTGAGAAGTATGAGTTCTTTATATATTTTGGATATTAACCTCTTTTCAGATATATGGTTTGCAAATATCTTCTCCCAATTGGTAGGCTGTCTTTTCATTTTGTTGATGGTTTCCTTTGCTGTGCAGAAGCTTTTTAGTTTGATGTGGTCCCATTTATTTATGTTTTCTATTGTTTCCCGTGGTGACTGCCTGTAATCAAAGGAGTGGTTGCCGTACTGAGCAAACCGCCATCACATTAAATGTTTCAGCAGTGTCAAGTGTGAGATATACCTGTTCAAGAGCTCGTCCAGATGACTAAGAGATCTCTTTGTCCAATATTCCTACTTTAAAACATTGTTATTATAAAAATTATAATGATACTTGGTTTTCAATCTCATATTTGTTTCTAATTCATCAATCTAATATCCAGGTTAAAAGAAAATCTGGCAGATGTCTCTATTTTATTCTGTCGATTAGGCAGACTTAACATATTCTCTAGGGAGAGGTTTTCTTTTTTTTTTCACTCAGCTCAGTTTTCTCTTTCTGGCGCTTGTCCCATCCTTAGGGCTTTGCAACCTCTTGAAATGTGCTCCTGCCCATGCCGTCCTTCTCCATGGATCTGTCAGCCAAACCCAACCAGCAGTGAAATACTTTCCCCAGTACTCACTGATGAACGATGTGATGGGGTACTGTGTGTGTTCTATACATTCTGAATAGTATTTACTGCCCTTAGTGTTTACCTGGGTCTAAAAAGTCTAAAGCATTTGTATTGGCTATAAATTTCTCTTTTTACATTTTGATTCTCGAATTCATTGAAGACATTTCAAATTCAAGCTTTAAGGAAATGAAGGCAGTGTAGAAAAATAGTCAAGGGT